GCCATTGGCGCGCTCTTCTCACCCAAGCTGTTGTGCTTTAGCGGGTTGTTAAGAGCAGTCTGTGTTTATCGTGCAATTTTCGTAAGTATCGTCTTTGACTTGCTAGGTTTATGTTGGCTTTTGTTGAGTTTTAAGGACTGGCCATGTGTTTTTAAATGTAGAGTCTGTACGAGTGTGGCTCGATGGTCTTCGTGGTCTGGACACAAACAGAGGCCTAACGTACACCGCTTTTTATCTATGTATGTGACTTATAATTATACAAGTATAACATTTATGTCTTTGAACGTTATATAGGTGGCGACTGCGTTATGAGAATTAATCCACAGTTCTGTTTATTGTTTTAAAACATTTTGGATGTCAATTAGTGTTACAACGTTGTTTCATTTGTAATCTACTGTATGAAGTGTCAGCTGCTGTGTACCGTGCTGTAACTTAATGTTAAAATGTCTTGGCAATCTATTAGTTTGTCTCGGTTTAGGCTGATGGGTATGTCAACTAACATTTACGTGTCTTAACTTTTGCTGTGTTGAGAACCATTAGCATAATTTTATGTTTCCAAGAAGAGGGCTGTAAAACCTGTGCTGAATCTAAAATTTGGTGATCTCTCATCAAGAGAATCTTAAAAGCAATTATTTGTGGACTGGAAGACTAAGTGTAGGGGAATGAATTATTTCAAAGTGAATGGAACACAATGTGACCGTTCAATTAATGAAACTCACTGAAGTTACTGAATTTTTTTTTATTTTTATTTTAATAGGTGAGAACATGAGCTCCATCAGAAGACCCAAGCATGCAGAGAATCCCTCTGAAAACATCAAGGTATGTGAGAACGTCTTGCCCTAGGCTTCGTAGATGCAATTACTACTCAAAACACTGATTGCTGAACCAGTGTCCTGTTGGGTGATTAAATTAATGGGGTTTTGAAAGAATCTGGCAACACTCCCATAAACTGATGAATGTCCCATTTTAAAGCTAGTCATTAGTGGTTTTTATAGCGGCCATGTAATGATCCCTAGATATTATTCATAAATTTGGATTACTTAAATTGTCTGCTGGAGTATTTTCAAAAAGGAAAGAATGACATGAATGTCTTTAACTTGATCAAATTTCCCATTTAGGACAAACTCAACTCGGACCTTGTTCTGTTTTTAAATTAATCATTGTCCATAACTGTGCAA